TAATAATTATTACACGTTGGTTGAATAGTTCCTCCAGATTACCTGGCAAATGGAACAATAGTATATAATAATAATAATATATACTTTATTGTCCAACAGGAATAATTTCCCAATTACAGGACAACAATAACTAATTGTACACTACATTAATAAATATATAAGTATGTAAACAAAATAACAATACTATAGTAGTTACAATTTAACAAAATATATCTTCTAAACAATTATTTCCACAAGAACTCATTGTGTAAATCGGTGCACGACGCAAAACGTTGGTACGAGTTCTAGGGATCTTGAATGTTTGTACAAATCTAGAATATAGCCGTGGAACATTGAAGCTTATATTACTAAGAAGATCTATACAATCTATTTCGTTAGAAACCAGTTTTGCAAGAAAACGGGCACAGTAAAAATCTCTTCTAGAAGAAAGTGACGACATTTGATGTTAGAAACTTCAAGAATTTCTTCAGAATTCTATCTAGGACCATGTGGTGCGTGATGTAGGTATATCGGATACCAAACTAAAGATGCGTATTCTAACTTGCTTAAAACAAAGGCATAAAACAGAATTTTGATCAGGTTGACATTACGGAAATACTTAGATACCCTCATGATAAAACCTAAGGACTTGTTAGCTGAGTTCGCTATGTGTTCAATGTGTAAGTTAAATGTTAAGTGTTCATCAAATATTACACCAAGATCCTTGATTGACTCTTTTTTAGTAATAGAAAATCCATCAATTGAATATGAAAACTCAGTAAGGGTGTTTTTACGGGAGAATGATATAAAGAAGCATTTTGTTTTATTAATTTTAAAAATATTATTATTACACCACTGCACAATTTTGTCAAGATTGGCTTGCAAATGTAGGGTATCGTCAATACAGGAAATTTTTGAGCATATTTTGAGGTCGTCATCATAAGCATGAACCGTACAACTAAGAGATAATAGCAAGTCATTTACGAATATGTTAAAAAGTAACGGTCCAGGATTAGAACCTTGCGGAACGCCGCTATTAGATGTAAATAAATAGGACCTGAAGCCATTTTAAGAAATATAATTCACGCGATTGTCGATGTAAGAGCATATTAATTGCCAAAGTGAAGCTGAGAAGCCAAAGTTATTAAGTTTACGAAGTAAAATTCTGTGTGAGATGCAATCAAAGGCCTTAGAAAAATCAGTGTAAATGACATCAATTTGACCTTGATTATCGATTTCTTGGGCTAGTGTCTCACTTAGCAGAGATAAATTAGTAATAGTGGATCTGCCTTTTACAAAACCATGTTGGTATGGCGATATGTAGGGTTGGACATCGTAGTAAACTTGTTTATATAATACCTGTTCCATCACCTTTGAAAAATTCTGTAAAATAGATATTGGGCGATAGTTGTTGAGGAGTTGAGAACTACCTTTTTTAAATATGGGGATGACTCAGGCTATTTTCCAGCGTTCTGGGTAAGTATTTGTTTTTAAGGCCAAATTAATTATTATGGAGAGTGGTAGAACAAAAGCAGAACTACAATCTCGAAGAAAAAAACTGGGAATTGAATCATAACCGGCTGTCAATTTATTAGGAAAGTTTTTCATTATTGATATTAGTTCGTTTTGGCTAACTGAAAAAACTGAACGAATTGAAGAGTTTTCATAAGTGGGTAAAAAGGAGGTTGACGAGTCATTAGTTTGTGCATTTGCAAAAGTTTCTGCAAATGCGTTTACAATATCTTGTGGATCAGTATACTCATTGTGCTCCTCATCGATCATGTAGCTGGGAATTCTAGACGTTCCTTTTTTGAGGTTTATGAAATTCCATAATCCACAAGGATTTGATTGTAAGTTAATCTCCACTTGGTTGATGTAATCATGATATGCACCATTCAACTGATTTTTCACGAGAGATCTTAGCCTTTTATATTAATTAGAAGACATTATTTTTGGTTCTCAACCACTTACGTCTGAAATTTTCTTTGGTTTTAATATTATTTTTTATTTCATTTGTGACCCAATATGGAAACTTTGAAGATGAACAACCGGAAACTTTTGGAACATTTTGGTCTAGAAGCGTATATAGATATTCATAGAAATTGTCCAGTGCAATATTTACGTCATCGAAATTCTCGAGAAATGTCCAGTCTGCTTTCAATAAATCTTCGTAAAGTTTAGGAAAGTTGGCTTTTCTAAAGTTGTAGCGTACATTATTGGCTGCGGGAAACTTATGGGTACCAGTTGTTGCTAAGAATTTTAAATTTACGGCAAGTGAGGGGTGGTGAGCATCTACAGGTACAAGAGCTGGCACATAATGTTCAAGATCCATGGTAAAATTTTATTATGCTGAATGAGAAGTAGGGAATCACAAAATTGTTGAAGGAGAGGAATTTTACGATAATTAGGCGGATTAGCATCGCAAAAGTGAGAGACGTTGAAATCACCAACTAGAATAACATCCTCATTAAGTAAATGTACTTCTAGTGCATTTAAAAATAGCTCTAATTCAGTGGAGGTAACGTCAGGGGGTATATATGTAACACAAAATATGAATTTGATTCTACCAAATACACGTACATATTCCTTAGTCCTATATTTTGGTGGAATATAGACAATGAAGATGTAGAAACTAAAATGGCAACACTGCATTAAGCTCCAAGAATGTCTGTGGAGGCAAGCAAATCAAACCCTTTAGACACCATATCAAGTTAGACAGTTGAAAATTGCAACTTGGATGCAAGAAGAACTCCTCGACCTCCAGTTACATTAGTTTTATAAAAATTTATGTCTGATCTGAGGACTATATAGCTATTAGGGCAAAATTCAGAATTAAGCACAGACTTAGAAAGCTAGGTCTAAGACAATAAAGATTAATGGAATTCATTTAATTTAGAGTTAATACCATAAGTATTTTGATAATAGAGTGTGATAAACACATCCTCAGCAATTTTAACTACAGAAGGAGAAATATCTACGCAGAAGTCACTATTGATAAGTCGCTACAAGACTGCAATGATAATAAATTTAGGAAATTGAATGAATCTGCAAGGAATGAATACTATGAAGCCAAAAACATAGAGTTTTATTTTGTTAATAGCAGCAGTATGTGAATGACAGTTATTGCAGTCCCAAGCAGCATGATCAACATTTATTTGTTGGTCATGATTTTCAGGCGATTTCATATTAGTACAATTTATACAACGCAGCTGCTCAACTTGGCACTTTTTAAGGCTATGGTTCCCAGCACAGTGAGGGCAGATAACATTACTTTTGCAAGAGCTGGATGAATGGTTAAAACCATTACAAATGAAACACCAGAAAATATCAATACTACGAAAGATATAACACCTGTTTAAGCCTATTAGGCACTGACCTATGCTTTTTTATAAGACGCGAAGGAAAGCTAAAAAGTCCGACTTTAAAATTATATTTACCGTAAAGTAATTTTACAGAACAGGTCAATAATATTCTTCGACGAATTGTTAAGAACGCAGAAGTACATTAAGAAATTGACCCCACCCCATTTAAAAATATTTTAATACGTCACAGCTCGCGGCAATAAAAACCACAGACAACTTAATCACTGAAAAATAAAGATTGTAATATTTTCTGTGAGATATTTTTGCTTTGTCGTTTTCATTACTCATAAATTTTATAGCCTCTTGTGTGTTACTTTTCATCATTCTGCATAAAAATATACAGTGAGTCACTACCACATAATTTTACAATTATTAAAACAAAACATATTTCGTGCAGACTTACGATTTTATTGAAAGAACGTTTCAGGGGATTCTGATTTCCTTGCGGTTTGTATGTATGTAAAAAAGCCTACGGGATATAAGAGAGCACTGTATAACTGTTTTGGTTCCCCGAGGAATCAGACACGTCCCAGGACCAAGACTTATGGTTTGTTTAGATGGTCCTGTCTACTTCTCACGATTTGTGATCGGGGGATGCAATTTACTACCAAAATGGAAATTTTATATGACCCCCTCAAGGGAAACTCTATTGGGCACATATCGTTTTTATTATTTATTTATTACGTTCATTGACAAAATATACAATAATTATTAAAACTTCTATTTGTATTTCAGATCCAACGTTCTTTTAGTTTGTTTCTACGTTTCTTCCTTCCTCTAACAACACACTATTAGCATTACAATGTTACGCAATGTCTTATCAATCAGTAGCCATTATGAAAAATTGTTTCAAGTTCGCAAATTATTTTTCAATAAACAGTCGTAGCGGCACATTATTGAACATTTTTCTCTGCGACACTTGAGTGTGTTTGTCCTACAATACATAGTCAGAATTCGTGAACACATTATTAAAATCTAACGTTTTATTTTTATAAACATCTCAACGTTTTGAAAGAATTTCCGTCGATAATTTTTAGAATTACCCATTTGTTACAACCTGATTCTTTTTTTTGTCACTTTTTTTCCTAAAAAAAAAAATCAGTTGGTACTGTAAAGTATTTAAAAGTTACGTGTGAATGAAAACTTTGAATTGAAGTATTGAAAACCATTAACAAAGCCAGTATTCACTTTGTTACTAACAAGTCATTCATAACGTCCAAAATGTGCGTCATAAATATTAGAACTAATGGTCAAAAAATGTGTAAAAATAAAATCTATCCATTGTTCGTAATTTTGGCGCACAAAGAGATCTAAAGCTTCCTTTATATTGATTAATTCCAATCAATTGTTCGACCGGCCAACAATGTTTGCTTTACAATAAGAGGACCTATTAAGCCATTGTGCTCTGAAATATTTTCCGACTTACTTATCGTGGGGCTTATAAAATATTCACCGAATAAAAGTGAGGCTCTAAGACTCGGACACCTACAATACGAAGCCTATGAAACTCAGAATCATTTTTTTTCAATTAAAAACACAAAATCATTTCACCATTTACCCATAAACAGTTGCTTTCAACTAAGAAATGGCAGTAACATTGTAATTGACCTGTATTTATTTTTAAAAGTGTCGTTTGCTAATACAGTTTTTATGTTTCAGGGCCCGATTTAATCCTCGCTCCTGTCAGTTTTTCTCCACAGGACTCTGAATTTTGAAGATCCACGTTACATCGACTTGGCAACCTACTGACTCATTCCAAAGCCAAGGATTGTAAATATTTGTAAAAAAATATTTTATAGGGTTAAACTAGAACTGAAAAATTTGTATTGTAGTCATTTTTCCATAACTGTTTTTTTCCACCCCTCAGTACAATGTTTTCTAGTTTTTTTTTATCTGTCAACAATCAGTATTAGAAATATTATAATAGGACTGTCTTTAGTTTTCGAATATAAGCAACAATGTGTGTTGAACTGCCTTGCTTTACCTATTTACTTATGTTCTTGTTTAGGTTAACGGGAACTGAGTTTTGTATGAATCCCAAGACTACAATTGGAAGGATATGAACTTTGAACCCGCCGGCTATTTCTGACATATTCCAACTAATACTTTGAAATGAAATTTATTGTGTAATATTTTGTGACAAAGTTAAATGTACTCATTACACTACATACTTAAATGTAGTGCATCTGTAATGTATTAACTGGCTTAAACTTATCCATATTTGTGTATGCGGAGAGTCGATTTTTTATTTTCTGACTGTTTTGTTAGCTGCTTGGTACAATATAGATACAGGTGCATACAAATGTTTGCGCAAAATAAATGTTTTAAGAAAAATTTGAAACCCCCGAAAAAATGGAAACAAAAATATGTTACTTCTTATTAATTTTCAAAATGTTCTACATCCAAAACATTTTTCAATTTATTAGTTTCTGACTGACGACAGTTCATCTAAATACTTACAAATAAACAATGTAACTGTTATATTAATTTCCTAGAATCTAGAGGTTAAGCATTTGCCGATTGTTTTATATTAATTTAATGTAGTAATGCTAAGCAAAATATAAAAGTATTCCGTTTACAGAAACCCTTAGACATGCTTGTTTGCTTTTGTAATAGTAAATTCGCCTCGTAATTTCGGTTTTTAAAAGCACACAAGAATTGTAGGGGTAATTCTGTTTTATAAATCCTAAAGATGTTCTGCCGTTGGACTTCACTGACTTTTTGATATTTTTTCTACCATTATTTTAGGCTTGTAAGTTGTATATAATGTAGTTTTACATTAAATTTAGTTGTCATATTTGATCTCCCCGACAATATCATTATTTTAATAAACTAAGAGATCAATTTTTTATTAGACTTGTGTTTCCTCAGGTATATTTTTAGACATGTATTAAATATGAAAATTTTAATAAAAGGCAATACGGAAAGTACTTGTTAATTGTAGTTATTTTAAATTCCACATCGTAATGTTAATTATTATTCTCATAAAGATGGATAGTTATCTGCATAAAAGTTAGTGTCTTTATTACATTTTTAAAGAAATTGAGAACAGAATAGAAGGTTTAAGGTATCACGGAATATATACAAGGTGAGTCAATAAGCGCCCTTTCTATTTCATTATTGCATTAATTATTTAAGATACCTGTATAAACATAGATTAAAATTACTTTCAACTATACAGAGTGTTCTTTTTTGATATTTATTCACATCGTCTGTATATATAGTTACTCCTTTTTTCAAGAACTTTTGGAAAATAAAAATTACAATAATTGTCAAGAAAATCAAGGTAGATTCGTAAACCACAAATATAAGAGTATAGTACATTTAGATAATTTTAATTAAGCAATATAATGAGCGCACGCCGCGCCGGCGGATAATTAGCCAAATTTTGCTAAGCGTTTTGCCATCTACACGATATTATATACATACAATCATATGTCATCTGACCACAAGCTGCTCGCCAGTTTCGGATATTATCTGTCTAATAAAAATCGACACCCAACAATGAATCATCGAGAAAACATGAAAGTGGCCAGTCGTCCCATGGACCCAATATTTCCTCAGTTTAAGCTTGAATGACGTGTGTGACAACCGTGATTATATAATCGATCTACTAAATACAATAAATATCGTTAAAAGTTTAGAGATATTTTTAAAAACAGAGGCCCTTCGGTTATAAATTATAATAACTCGAGCCTAAACCTGTACTCCGCTCTGTTGGAAGTTGGGAGAGAGAGAAATGTTGCTGGAAACCGCAGGTAGAGCATAAATTAGGAAGTAATTAGTAAATCGTTTGTTTGCTGAAATTTTCAGTGTCCTGGGGAGACGAGTAATAACATACGTTTGTTTGGAAATGGCTTAATCAATTGAGTTTCTGCTCCTGGACCCACTGATTTATATCACATCGGTAGATCTATACGACAGAATCATTTGCCTCGCGCAAATAGTAAAATTGTATTTATACAAAAACTACAGAATAGGCACTCTGGTTTATTTTGTCCAGTATTTCAATTATCTATTGTGCGTTCCGATTTGCCTTAGCAGCGTATAAAGCAATGAGAGAATTCGCGGTGGTGCTGTCAGTTATCCAAAAAACTATCGATTTCTGACGAAGTTGATACAAGAATCTTACACATATTATCATAATTCATAACGATTTTGTCATTCCGCTTCTGTTGGTGTTAAAATTTGATTTCTATGTGTGAAAATTTCAGGGTAAATAGAATTATTTCTTAAATTTGCATAATTTCAAAACTGCGTTTTTCGGTTTTTTATCATGTATATGGATTATGAAGTTTTGAGGATATGAGGATTTCGTTGTTCTCAGAATTTGAGGAGTTTGGTGTTCTGAGGATGTAAGGAATATGGAGTTCTGAGGATGTAAGGAATATGGAGTTCTGAGGATTTGAGGATTATGGTGTTCTGAGGATTTGAGGATTTCGCTGTTTTGAGGATTTGAGGAGTTTAGTGTTCTGGGGATATGAAGATTATGGAGTTCTGAGGAATTGAAGATTATGGTATTCTGGGCATTTGAAGATTTTGTTGTTCTGACGGTTTCAAGATTATCTGGATTCAAAGAAAAACTTCAAGGTCAACAGCGGCTCCGCAAGAATCGCAGCGAAAATCGAATGTCGTCGGCTCGATATGGTCTCTTCAAGGGAACGAACGAGACAACGAAGAGTTACTCACTGCGACGACATCAAGGATAAGCTTGGTTCTTCCAGGAACTCTTCACTTGGGTGCGGTGATAGAAAAAGGTACGCTGAAATTCCTCTTTTCTGCGGTTGACGATACGAAAACGGCTCAACGAAACCTCTTGCCTCGAACGAAACGATAAAATACCTCTCTCTTGAGTACTTCCTCTTCGGCTACGGCCTCGCACTTCCGTCCTTCAGGATATCCACCAAAACCCTTCCCGAAAACCTCCTCCTTTTATAAAAAACCTCCCAGCCTTCCCTGCTTTTTCACTCACCGACGTACTACCTCTTCGGATTCGTCCTGGTACTTCCTTCTTTCAGGATCTTCGCCAAAACGCTCCACCAAAATCTCTCTCTCTCCCTATCAGGTCGATACTACCAAATCTTCTTTCACGCGGGGTGGGAGTATCAGCGTATTAGCAGTGCCACGAGGTCATTTGACATTCCCGATAGGCATCCATAACATCTTAGATGTAGGCACGTAAGACATTGCATCCCCAATAAAGCAACCCCTTTTTTTTCTCTCTCAAAAGAAGGAATGAAACAAACCAAATGGAACGTTTATCTCATTCAACTGAATTGAAACGTTACAAAATTATGGTGTTTTGAGGATTTGAGGATTTTGTTCTTCTGAGGGTTCGAGGATTATGGAGATTAAGGATTTGAGAACTATGGAGTTCTGAAAATTTGAGGAATTTGTTGTTCTGACTATTTGAGAATTATTGAATTTTAAAGATTTGACGATTTTGGTGTTAAGGACTTCGCTTTTCTGAGGATTTGAGGTGATTGGTGTTCTGAGGATATAAGGATTATGGAGTTCTGAAGAATTAACGATTATGGTGTTCCGAGGATTTAAGGATTTTGATGTCCTGAGGATTTGACGATTATGGAGTTCTAAGCGTGTGAGAATTATGGAGTTTTGACGATCCGAGGATTATGTGTTCTGAGGATTTGAGGATTATGGAGTTCTGAGGATTTGAAAATTATGTAGTTCTGAGGATTTGAGGATTATCTAGTTCTGAGGATTTGAGGATTATGGAGTTCTGTGGATTTGAGGATTTTGTTGTTCTGACTATTTGAGGATTATAGAATTTTAAAGATTTGACGATTTTGGTGTTCTGGAGATTTGAGGATTATGGAGTCCTGGTTATTTAAGGACTTCGCTTTTCTGAGGATCTGAGGTGTTTGGTGTTCTAAGGATATAAGAATTATGGAGTTCTGAAGAATTAGCGATTATGGTGTTCTAAGCATGTGAGGATTATGAAGTTTTGACGATCTGAGCATTATGGTGTTCTGAGGACTTAAAAATTATGTAGTTCTGAGGATTTGAGGATTATGGAGTTCTTAAGATCTGAGGATTATGATGTTCTGAGGACTTGAGGATTTCAGGAGTTTGATGTTCTGAGGATAAGAGAATGATGGAATTCTGAGGAATTGAAAATTATGGTATTCTGAAGATTTGAACATTTTGTTGTTCTGAGGGTTTGAGTATTATGGAGTTCTGAGGATTTGAGAATTATGGAGTTCTGAGGAATTGAGAGTTATGGTGTTCTGAGGATTTAAGTATTACGGACTTCTAAGGATCTGAGCATTATGCAGTTCTGAGAATCTGAGGATTATGGTGTTCCGAGGATTTGATGATTTCGCTGTTTTGAATATTTAAGGACTTCGCTATTCTGAGGTTTTGAGGAGTTTGGTGTTCTAAATATTTTAGGATTATGGTGTTCTAATGATTTGAGGATTTCGCTGTTCTGAGGATTTGAGGATTTGGATCTCTTGAGTATTTGAAGATTATGGTTTTCTGAGGATTTGTAGATTTGGTTGTTTTGAGGATTTGAGGAGTTTGGTGTTCTGAGTATTCGAGGATTATGGTGTTTTGAAGATTTGAGGAATTTGTTTTTCTGGGGATTTGCGAATTATGCAGTTCTAATTATTTAAGGACTTCGCTTTTCTAAGGATTTTGGTATTCTGGGGATATAAGGATTATGGAGTTCTGAACAATTAAGGATTATGGTGTTCTGAGGATTTGAAGATTTTGATGTCCTGAGGATCTGAGGATTATAGAGTTCTAAGGATGTGAGGATTATGGAGTTCTGATGATCTGAGGATTATGGTGTTCTGAGGAGTTGACGATTATGGAGTTTAGAGGATTTGAGGATTATGGTGTTCTGAGAATTTGAGGCTTTGGCTATTTTGAGGATTATGGAGTTCTGGGGATTGAGCATTATGGTATTCTGAGGATTTGAGGATTTTGTTGTTATGAGTGTTTGAGGATTATAGAGTTCTGAGAATTTGAGAATTATGGAGTTCTGAGGATTTGATGATTATGGAGTTCTGAAGATTTGAGGACTATGGAGTCTTGAGGATTTGAGGATTGTGGTGGTTTGAGGATTTGAGGATTATGGTGTTCTGAAGATTTGAGGGAGTTTCTTGTTCTGAGTATTTGAGGAGAATGGAGTTCTGAGGATTTGAGAATTAGGGTGTTATGAGGGTTTGAAGATTTCGCTGTTCTGAGGATTTGACGATAATGGAGCTCTGAGCATTTGAGAATTTTAGTGTTCTGGGGATTTGAGAATTATGAAGTTCTGAGGATTTGTGGATTTCGCTGTTCTGGGGATTTGAGGGTTTTGGTGTTCTGACGATTTGAGGATTATGGCGTTCTGATTATTTAAGGACTTCGCTGTACTGAGGATTTGAGGTGCCTGGTGTTCTGAGAATATAAGGATTATGGAGTTCTGAGGAATTTAGAATTATGGTGTTCTAAGGATTTAAGTATTACGGACTTCTAAAAATCTAAGCATTATGCAGTTCTGAGGATCTGCGGATTATGGTGTTCCGAGGATTTGATGATTTCGCTGTTCTGAATATTTAAGGACTTCGCTATCCTGAGGTTTTTGAGGAGTTTGGTGTTCTATATTAGGCATAGGGAATTCTGAGGATTTGAAGATTATGGTGTTCTGAGTATTTAAGGATTTCGCTGTTCTGAGAATTTCAAAAGCTATTAAAAATTTTGTCTTAGTTTTTTAAGTGTAATAGATATAACCAAACACTGCTGATACAACAATGCAACTTTTAATGTAATGATGCTTTAAATTTCTATCATAATACTAATTATTTGAAACTTGCACAAAAGGTGCATTGAAATTTTCACACATG